TTAAAGTTTGTAGAGAATTTATAATTTTATTTATATTATATTATTTTAAAGAAAAAAAATGAAAAAGAAAACTTAGTAATATGATGGATAATTAAAATTAAGATAAAAATTTAAAAATATATTTTGTACTTTAAAAAATATTTAAAAAAGGGCCTCTAATTTAGTACAAATTTTGAACACAAAAAACCAATAGGATTTCCGCAACAAAACTTAGGATTAAAGAAAGTTAAAACGGAAAATCAGGAAGTCCTCAAAATCCGGCGACTCTTAAAAGAAAACCTAAATTTCTATGCTCCAGTTTTTACTTCTTAACCCGAGTCCTCGTAATCGATACAATGGGAACTTGAATTGAATTTTTTAAAATCAAACTTAAATAATATTTTTATATTATATTTTTATACAATTTTTACACATCATTATGGGTCGTACATAAAATAAAAAAATTAATTATTTTAATAATACATCAAGTTGTACAAAAAAGATGAGATAAAAAGATGAGATAAAAAAAGTCATACAAAAATCCTTTCCCAAATTTCTATGTTCTACATGGCTATGGCTTCCTCAACTGGAAAAAGTCATTAACACCTAATTTGTCTCTAACACTTCCACAACTGGTAAAGCGCATGACTTTGAGGTTTGTTTGAGTTGATCAGTTCTCATCTGTTGAACTAAAGGGACATCTATGGCCTACAAGGGACAACATATGACCAGAAGAAGAAACCCCCTCTTTGGACATCTATATCTCTGTGCCCTTCAAGACAGCACATTGTACAAAGTACAAATTGAGAATTTCAACCAAGCATGGGCTGCGGATTCCATTTGTCAGAGAATTTACGATGAACTGAGGATAGATTTTGAGTTGGATGATATCTGTTCTCCGTGTCCTCGACAAAATGCGGGATTCAGGGTAGGCAAGGTGGTTGCATATATATTTGGATGCCAATCATTCTTTAGACTACCCAAAACACAAGAAGAAAAAGTATCTACCATTATTCATTGGTTTCCGTGACATCTTATTGTCCTGTAATATTTGTAGTTGTAGCTGCCGGTCGTCTAGGATTCCTAGGGAACAACGACTCGTTGGAACTTTTCTGTCAATGTTCTAAGTCTTCCTCCTAAAACTTGACAAGGACCAACATAAAATTTAAGAATATATTTGGAGTTCTCTTCAAACTCTGTAATACCCGTTTCTGTCGTCAGCATGCACTTCTGGCTTCCATCTTCAGCTACATAAATCATGCCCATACCCACTTCTAAATCCATCTAGCAACTCTCAATTCTTTCGTACTTTAATTCTTTTGAAATTAATGTTGTAAAACAAGTTCTGTTGTGTAACACAGAGTTGGGACGACCATTTAACTCACAATTCTGAGAGTTTGTAATAGTTTAGTAAGGCATCGTAGCGTCCGCACAAGCTGGAGATGACTTTGCCAAGTTGTTGAGCAAGTGGTCGATGAGTAGGAGAGCAAGTTTTCAATCATCAAGCAGAAGAAGCTGGGCCTCAGCAAGTATCCGGGACGTGTGGAATAATCAGGGGGATGTTTTCCAAAGAAGTGGGAGAGAGGAAGATGAGGAGGAGCTGAAATGGGCTGCAATAGAAAAGCTTCCCACTTATGACCGGTTGAGGAAGGGAATGCTGAAGAGGTCTTGGATGGAGGGAAGGTTGGCTATGAGGAAGTTGATGTTACCAATCTTGATGTGCAGGACAAGATGCAGTTGATGGAAAGCATACTCAAGGTTGTTGAAGAGGATAATAAGAGATTTCTTCTTCGACCTAGAGAAAGGATTGATAGGTGGCTCTTCTCTTTCCACCCCTTAATTGCTATGTTAATGTTCTTATTGTTTTCTGGAATTTGAATTTGGATTATCTTTTGAAAACTTAATGATTTCATTGGAAAGGGTGGGAATTGATGTTCCACAGATTGAAGTGTGGTATGAGAGTTTATCCATGGAAGGAGATGCATATGTTGGCGCAAGGGCACTCCCAACGTTGCTGAATTCCACCTTGAACACAATAGAGGTAATTTTCCCTTTTCTTTATCTAGTGTATTGTCCCCTTTTCTTCTTACTCTTCATACTATTGTTTCATGTAATGAGTTTAGGTAAAGGTTTATGGAGTCAAAAATTACTTCTACTCCACGGTTCACCTACTAATTGATGAATAATCTTGTCTTAATTTTGTTTTGGTGAACGATAAACAGAGAGTTCTTGGACTGACCAAGCTTTTCCCTCAAAGAAAAAGGTTGTTAAGAGACTAAAAGGTGTAAGCGGAATAGTGAAACCATCAAGGTACTCATCTGTCATACATGCTGCTCTATGTTGTGCTCCTCATGATGAGCTTGGATTTGATTGGTTCTTCCTTCTTTCTTTAATTATTTGTTCTTCTTCTATCACAGAATGACACTGCTTCTAGGACCTCTAGGATCCGGAAAAACTACACTTCTTCAAGCTCTTGCTGGAAATATGGACAAGGATTTGAGGATTTGACTCCTTCACAATTTAGCCTTTCTATACTTTATTCCATGTATTGCAGTATCACTATAAGAAGCAAATACTGGTGAACAGGTATCAGGAAGAGTCACTTACTGATACTGTGGTCATGAATTTAAGGAGTTCATTCCCCGAAGAACATGTACCTATATCAGTCAGCATGATCTTCACCATGGAGAGATGACTGTGAGGGAGACTCTTGATTTCTCAGGGCGATGCTTGGGAGTTGGAACAAGATATGATCTCTTGGCAGAGTTGTCAAGAAGGGAAAAGGCAGCAGGAATCAAGCCAGACCCTGAGATTGATGCATTTATGAAAGCCACAGCAGTGGCAGGCCAGAAGACCAGTATAGTCACTGATTACATCCTCAAGGTTTCTTCCTTTCATTTTTTATTGAGGTTTTATATATTGGCTTTTCCAAGCTTAACTCAGTATACATTGCAACAGATACTTGGACTGAACATTTGCGCTGATGTTACGGTGGGTGATGAAATGAGAAGGGGCATCTCTGGTGGACAAAAGGAGTGTGTAATGACAGGTAGACTAATTTCGACATAAATGCCTTTTCTTTGTTCATTCACTTTACAAAACAAGCTCTTTCTTGGAAAAATAATTTAGGTGAAATGTTGGTTGGGCCAGCCAAAGCTCTATTCATGGATGAGATATCAACAGGCCTGGATAGCTCCACAACGTTCCAGATTGTCAGGTTCATGAAACAGATGGTCCACATTATGGATGTAACTATGATAATATCTCTTCTGCAACCTGCACCAGAAACCGTTGAACTTTTTGATGATATCATCTTGCTTTCAGAAGGGCAGATAGTTTACCAAGGTCCAAGAGAAAACGTGCTTGAATTCTTTCAAAGTGTAGGCTTCAAATGCCCTCAAAGAAAAGGACTTGCTGATTTCTTGCAAGAAGTAACTTCTGAAAATGATCAGCAGCAGTATTGATGCAAAAATAACAAACCTTATCAATACATTTCCGTTTCTGAGTTTGTGAATCACTTCAATTCTTTCCATATTGGTCAGAAGCTTGCTGATGAACTTAGAGTTTCTTATGATAAATCCACAACTCATCCTGCTGCTTTGGTAAAAGAAAAGTATGGAATCTCAAACTGGGAACTCTTCAAGGCATGCTTTGCTAGGGAGTGGCTATTGATGAAGCGCAACTCTTTTCTTTATATCTTCAAGACAACTCAAATCACCATAATATCAATAATTGCTTTCACAGTGTTTCTAAGGACAAAAATGAAGGCTGGTGATATAACATCTGGAGGAAAATTTTATGGGGCACTGTTCTTCAGTCTCATAAATGTTATGTTTAACAGGATGGCTGAGCTTGCACTGACCATATTCAGGCTTCCTGTATTTTTTAAGCAGAGGGATTTCTTGTTTTCTCCAGCATGGGCTTTTGCCTTACCAATTTGGGTCCTCAGTATCCCTCTCTCATTTCTGGAGTCAGGGATATGGATCCTTCTCGCATATTCTCACATATTACCCAATTGGGTTCACCCCATCTTCTGCTAGGTATGTGCCTTTGCAACCTTACAGTTCATAGAAATGCAGACCCTAATTTGTTTCTATCTTCACTAACATTCAATAAAAATGTTTCAGGTTTTTCCGTTAGTTCCTGGCTTTGTTTGGGATTCACCAGATGTCTCTCTTCCTTTTCCGTTTCATTGCTGCTTTAGAAAGAACACAAGTTGTAGCAAACACACATGGTACATTTACATTGCTGATTGTTTTTGTCCTTGGTGGATTTGTTGCTTCCAAAGGTTAATAGTTTTTGTTTGCAGGGCATTTAAATTTCTCTGTGGCAAAAAAAAGGAAGCAAAATATTATATTTCCTTGTGCAAATGACATTGGAAAATGGATGATATGGAGATACTACGTTTCTCCTATGTCTTATGGACAAAATGCCATAGTCATCGATGAATTTCTTGACAAGAGGTGGAGTACGGTAAGATATCTAAGAATTTGAAAGCGGTGAGATATAGAATAATACATTACTGAGTTAATAACTCACATCCACAAAATTCCTATTCTGCAGCCTAATCCTGCCACACATACCCTTGAAACCATGGTTGGCAAGGCTCTGTTCAAATCGAGAAGCATGCATACAGAAGACTACTGATATTGGATTTGTGTTGAGGCACTCTTTGGATTTTCTCTGCTTTTTAATCTGTGTTTCATAGCAGCAATGACATTTTTTAACCGTGAGCTACAGATTCTGACTCTGACATCCATTTCAGTTATGGCTTAAGTTTCTGGTGCATGATAACATTTTTGGAAATTGCAGCTCTTGAAGATTCTAAATCCGTTATTCTAGATAAGAATGATAAGAGTAAAAACAAGAAACAATCATCTTCCCATGGACCCTCACATTAGAACAGTTGAAATGGGTGCAACATCCACAACAACCCAAGTGTTTGAAGGTTCAACATCTTACATTCTGATCCTTCTTATGTCCTGCATTTTCTAAAGATGAAACTCTGAGACTTTTGGGTTTTGGGGAAGGAAACTAATTTTGATTATTGGACACTGATACCAGATACTGATATGGAAGTGAGAACTACTCCAGACAACTCAACCACAAGTTCTGTAGACCAGGCACCTAACAAGAGGGGAATGGTGTTGCCTTTCCAACCCTTGTCTCTAGCATTCGACCACGTCAATTACCATGTAGACATGCCTGCTGTGAGTCTCCTAATCGGTATCTTTTCCTCTCCATTGTTGGTTAAAATGTCTGTCTTTGGTTAAAAGTTGTCTTCTTCAATCTTACAGGAAATGAAAAGCCAAGGAATTGAAGAGACCCGTCTTCAACTGTTACGAGGTGTAAGTGGTGCTTTCAGGCCTGGCGTTCTAACAGCATTGGTTGGGGTAAGTGGTGCTGGAAAGACCACCTTGATGGATGTGCTAGCCAGAAGAAAGACTGGTGGTTACATTGAGGGCAGTATCAGCATTTCTGGTTACCACAAGAACCAAGAAACTTTTGCTAGAATTAAGGGTTATTGTTGTTTGGTTATTTCTCAAAGAAATGGAGAGAGACGTTGAAGAGCTGAAATCAAGTTTCCATTTCAGTTTTCCAGCATATGTACATCGAGAGTTTAAATTTTGAAATTCAAAAAATACGAGCTAAGGAGCTCTTTTACAACAATATTTTATCATCAAAATAATACACATCATCACATGGCTCCAACTAGAAATATGACTAGAAAAGGACACAAAACAGTTTGGTTAGTTTCAGTTTAACCAAACTGAACTTGGGCAGCT